TTGCTGAGTTCCAGGGCTGGCCCTACCACTAGCCCAGCCACCTAATCTTGGACCAATCTTTTCCTTTGCCGGGCCTTCAGTGTCCTCCTCTGTACATGTTGTAGAATGGTGGCCGCAGGCTCTTTCTTTCTAGCTTTCACATTCTTTGGCCAATCCCCAGGCAATTCCTGGAGAGAAAAAGGGCGGAGCTAAGCTGAGTGGTCAGGCAGGAAAGGCCACTTCCCTTCTCCACTGAGTCTTCCAGTCACTCCTGCCTGGGGACTGACATTTAAGAAAAGAGAGAATTGACAGGGCTGCAGAAATCATACAAAGAAAGGAAACTGGAAACTGAAGGTGTTTGTGGGTGTTGGGGGATTTTCTAGATATGGGGGCAGACGGGAGGGAGAAAGATGTCTACATTGGCCTTCTGGTTTAATATGCAGTTTTGCAAAGAGGAATAAACACTCTAACTTCGATAAACATAGCCAGACTACAGTTAGAGGGCAAACCCAAACCCAACCTACTGCCATTGAGTCAACCTGGACTGTGCCTCCTTAGAGCAACAGAGAGCCTCGTCTCTCTTCCTCGGAGCCGCTGGTGCTTTTGAACTGCCAATCTTGTGGTTAGCAGGCTCTGGGAATTTCGACTTTTGGACGCACAGTATTGACAGAGGAAATCAAACATCACACACTCTGGATGTGGCTACTTGTTTCTCATGGGGACTCTGCCCCACCCTCCCCATATCTGCTCCCGTTCCCTTAACTGGTGGTATCTGGTCCAAGGGCAGCGTCCCCGTACTTTCTGGAAGCAGTGGGTCTGAAGTGTGATGGATGGTCCCTTCCCAAATTTGTATTTTCTACACATCTGAAAGATCTCCCCAAGTTGCATAGTCCTTTCTTAGGTCTAAAGTACAAACTCAGGACAAAGGCCGCACCCCCACTGCATACTTCCTGTGCTCTGCCAGCCCCCATGAAGGGTATCAGGGCAGCGCTTGTGCCCTTTGCTCTAACCCTTACAGTGACCTCTGGCTTCTGGGGTGGGCCCTGTTCCCTCTGCACAGCTGCAGGCCCACCTGCCTGCTCAAGTCCAGCCTAAGCCCCAGCACTAAAGAACAGCTGCTCTGTCTTTTGAAACACAAAGCCAGAGGGGATGCCTTCGAGTTGGCCTGGGGGTGGAGAAAGGGGAAAAAAACAGAGTAGGAAGGAGGATAAAAGCAGGGGGAACAGAAATGGAAAGAAAAAGAGCTCTCCTTGGAGCCCAGTGTGCTTGTGCTTCCAGGTTGAGCTGACACAGCAGAAAAAGGGAAAGGAAGGGGGAGGGGAGGGACGGACGACAAAGGCAAGAAGAGTCAAGTCAAAGCACAGTGACTTGCCTTCCTCTCTCTGCTTTGCTTGGCAAGGGGCGCAGCCAGACTTCCAAAGGCTTGTTTCAAAGGCGGGTGGGAAAGGATTCTGGCTCCTTGAGTTTTCCATGAGCTTGTTCAATCCAGACATAAATTTGGCCAATAAACTAACCACTTCCTCCTATAACCTCTGGTCCTGGCCTTCAACGTGGCATTTGGACCAGGCTTGGAGTGGGAGCCAGTGTGAGGGAGGCCAAACCCCTTCAAGGTGCAGATTGAATGCATTCTTGTGAAGGTAATGTGCCTCCCTCCCAGCCCATTTCCTGGCCCTTTTCTCATTCATTCTGGATTCTGAAATCCAGAATGAGTTGTCCATGCTCCCCGCCCCCTCTCCACTTCCAAATAAGTCTCATCTGAACCTCTGCCAGGGCTCCCCAACTTCCCCTTGGCTTATTTTTCTGATTTCCTTTGGCCCATTGTCTCTTCCTATATGACTCTTTGTGGGTCTCTTTTGGCATAGGCTGGGGTTTATAGGGTCAGGTGGCCACTGCCCCCCTAAACCCAACCCCCACTCTCCTCTGTCACCAAGGCATGCCAGGGTGCCCTGGTGCCCTTTTCAGCTCACAAAGGCACTTCTCTTATCCCAAGCTTGATGTCTCATTAGCCCAGGGCATACCTTCCAGAACCTAGCAAGTGTGGGGCTGGCCACAATGTCACAAGGCCCCTTCCTCAGCTCCTGCTCTCCCAGCCTGCCTTGGGACACAGGCGCTTGCACATTTGTTGAGTTTGGCCCAAGAAAGCACTCTTGTCTCTTGCCTCCCTCCAGCTTCATACACACCACCCTCTGTTTCTATATCGATCTCTGGCCCCGGACTGGCTGTAAAAAAAAAAAATGCTGGCCAGGCGTGCTCCCAACACCAGGTTCTCCGTCTACCCCCTCTCCAGTTGCCAAGCAACGCCCCTAGCAAAACACCAGTCCAGGCGTGCTGCCCTCTCTTCCCAGTCCCAGCAGCTTTGGCTGCCTGCCATCTCCTCTCCTCCGCTCCCCCTTTCTGGTTCTAGAAATGCACTTTTTCTGCTGTTAAAAATTCACACACACACACACACAC